TATATATGTATGTATGTATGTATGTATGTATGTATGTATGTGTATGTATGTGTATGTATGTGTATGTATATGTCTATGTATATGTATATGTATATGTATATGTATATGTATATGTATATGTATTTGTATATGTGTATGTGTAAATTTTGTTTGGAAAGGTTGTATCCGCAATTATACGGGTTCTGTGGAGGTTTATGATGGGGTTTGGGGTTAAGTTCAGGGCACATAGTGCTTTGGGTTTAGGGGTTATGGTTTTCGCTCACAGCCAAAACGGTAGGCAAGCATTCGGTTCAGGGTTCAACGTTGCAGGTTGAGATCTAAAGTGGATATGTGCGTATCGTTAAGTGCTTGAGAGTGTTGGATGCTCAGATCTCTTAGGAAGTGTTTAATGCATTAAGAAGATGCTTACGAGTAAGATTATGAGTGAACTGCCCTCTTCCGGAACTTTCAGTTTCGTCAATCCGAGAGCTGCGCATGCCACGCATCTGCTATCTGCTATATACTCCCAACCGGAAAGCTAACTGAGCTTGGACGCAAGCTGCATTCGGCCCGAGCATTGTGTATTTTTCGATCAGTCGTGTTGTGGTCTTCGGGGGTTTATGGCGCAGATACGGAATGTGGCCGGCATCTCGAAGTGGCATCCCGTGGAACAGAGCCCTCTTCGAGAGCCTCCGGTGAGCCCGTGCATCAACAGCTCTCGGAATCGTGAATGGCACTTCTCGTCCTTGTATGCGGCCGCCCTGGCAGCAGGCTTCGTTACAAGCTCGCGCTGTTCCAGGCAAGCAGCGCGATGCAAAGTTTCGCGTCGCCCATTAACCTCGTGCGTTGAGGACAGCATTGCCGAGCTTCAGGACCTGAAAGGGAAACACTCTATATCACATTGATGCAGTCATCATGTCGGAACTCAACGAAGTTAGGACCTGCATTGTCAGTTTACCACCCAGAGAGACGTAGACGTCATTCTGCTTGCTGACAGATCAACTGACTATGCACCACACTTCTGAGCAAGCAGCTCTGTGATGTAAGGCATACTGAAGGCACTGCTTCAGAGATTCGTCGTTCGACCTTGACGGACCTCAGGAGCTTCGATGCCTTCTTGAAAGCCTCGACAAGCTCGTCGCAAAGCGGCATCCGGTTGAAGTGCGCCAGGAGGACCGAGAGATTGTGGAGGAGATTGCCAGAAAGCTCCGGACTGTTATGCTTTGCTGCGAGAAGTGGGAAGATCTTTTTCCCCAGCTGAGACTCGTTTGCAGGTTTTTTGCCGTTTTTTGGACTTCGTCGTCGATTCCCCTCGGGTGCTATGCAATATTGTTCAGAGCAGGAGTCGTGGTGGCTAGTAAGCTTGTAACATCCATTTACAGCAACAGGAGCGGCAGCAGCGACAAAACCAGCTGCGGCAGCAGTGGCAGCATGTCTCGCCGCCTTGGCGATTGACATCGCCATCATCATCACCACCATCATCATCACCACCATCATCATCAACAACATCACCATCATCATCCAGCAGCGTAATCCTCATCGTCGCCATCATCGTCATCATCATCTTCGTCGGCACCATCATCATCACCAGCATCGTCATCATCTGGGTTCTCATGGCATGGAGCAACCTGTATAAGGGCATCCAGGACGAGACTACTAATGACCAAGACTTGTTACAGCGGAAACTCCATAGTACTCCTGAACACCGAATCTCAAAGCCCACGGCCAAGGGCCTGCACAAGAACAAAAATCCCTCGATATCTGACAGTAAAGTTGTGTTGTGAGTGTGGGGATCCTAGGGGTGAAAGAGCACCAAAGGTCGGTGGACTTGCAACCGAACTTGATGTACCGCATCCATATCTTCAATGGCGAAGGGGTGGATGTGCGCCTGCACCTGTTCTTCCAAGACGCCTCGGAAACCTATGTGCACAGCCATAGGGCCAACTTCCATTCGGTGTGTCTATATGGAAGCTACGTCAACGAAATCTGGGATGTCGGTGACGATCGGCAGGGCGAATTTGGCGAGCACTTCGAGTTCAATCGCTCGCGGGATGAGGCCCTCAAGAAGCCCGGGGACAGGAAGTTCGGATCACTTTTGTGCAAGACTTGCTGGAAGCATTCGACTGGCAGTTCGTATTTCTTGGATGCCACGACATATCACAGGACAGTTCAGGAAAGTGGCAAGGCTTTGACTTTGTACATCAAGGGCAAAGCCAAGCCTTTTCACACCATGGCACTGAGCAAGGAAGAGAGACCTGACTGGAAAGGGACGAACTGTTTAGAAGAGAGGGTGGATCCCTGTGACTTCAAGCGCATCTCCAAGGACGCGAGCGACTTGCTGAGGAACGGCATTTGCGACAGATTCTTTTTGCCGCTCATATGACTCTTGCAAGCCGTACAGCTGCGCAGTCATTCGTACTAAGCCCCTCCAAAATCCTCGCAAACCCCACTTAAACTAAACCCGACCACCCTAAACCCTAAACTGCTGACCAAAGCAGTGGCCACGCTCTTCGTTTTCCATGGCCTCCTGGGGGCTGCTCGTGCCTGCAGATCGCCCCTATAGTTATACTTGTAGTAGTGTTAACATAAATAGTGATAACAGAACACACACCAGTATCAGTTCACGATAATACAGTAGTAACAATACTAATAGCAATACTACCTAATAATATTAGTTGTCGTAGTAATAGCAGTGCTACTGATAAGAAATAAAATAGAAGCACTGATTATAGTAGCAGCTGTTGTAATAGTAGTGAATGTAGACGTAGTTGTAGAGGAAGTTTTCGCAATTCTTGTAGTTCGTACCAATTTCAGTTTCACGAACCAAAATAGCATCAAATAAAAATCTGAAACAAATCTTGTATTGACACGGCCGCTTTCTGATTCATAAACCCACCCTAAACCCCCTAATTTTGAGAAGGACACACGAGTCCTTCACTCATTAATGCTCTGAAAGTCTTAGAGGATGAATCTGGAGACTAAGTTAAGCTAGCTCTAGCTAGAGGGAGGAATCCTATTTTAGAGCACCCCCACTGGCAGTGCCAATAGAGCATCCACACTCTTCTACTGCATGCTGCGTTGGTCTGGATTCCGAAAGATGCACAGCTGGTGGAGGAAGACCTTCTTAGGACTTTTCGGTGCTTTAGGACGTTGGGTACCAGGCCAGCGCTGTCGATTTGAAGTCCGGTCCATTGCTGTCTCCACTTTGCACAGTGTCCCTCCTGAGCACTGCAACTCGAATGCTCTGCTTGGAGTGGTCGCTTGAGCAGGGAGATGCATTTCGACCGCAGCTTTGAGTTTAGATCTTGGGAAAACAGACTTCAGGGCTTCTGGGATTCCCTAAGGTGTTAGTGTTTAGACTCATGCTCGAAATCCCTGAGACCTTAGAGCCTTCACCCTAAAAGAATACACCCTACAACAGACCCTGCCTTTTCCAAGCACTTACCTTATGGCCCGGTTCGAATCCTAGCAATGTACACCAAAACCTGTTCTAATGATTGAGGCCCCTACATCAACTCAATGAAAATCCGGTAGCCTGCTGTAGGTTTAGTGGCATTTACCCTACACCCTAAGCCCTGACAGCTCTAAACCCTTCTAAGCCATGAAGTCCGGGGGTCCAAAGAGTGCGTCAACATCCTTGAACCCTCTTAGCAGAGCTTGGCCCTGAAACCGCGAACCCTGAAAAAGCTTGCAATCCTAGCTCCCCGACCCTTCAAAACCTTTCAAATTGAAGCCCGCTAAGCCTTGAAAGCCTTACAGCATTAAGCTCCCAGAAAACTCCACAGCAGGTTGGCTGCATCTCCTGTCTGCACTTCCTCTGCATTACCATGCGCGCCTCCGACAGGCGATTCTTGTGCCTCGGCTCTTATCCTCAAACTGAGTCCGTGCCTTTTGCGGGTTCAGGGTTTAGGGCTTGCGTTTTTGAGTTTAGGATTCAGGGTTTCGGTTGCAGAGTATGAGGGTATATCGGTTGCTCGCTGATTACCTATAGGGCTCCAGCCGACAATAAAAAGGGTACTGCGGTTGAGCATATGGGTAGTGGTTCCGGAAGGACTGTGATGACGCTGATGCTCCTCATGATGATAAGGAGGGTGGCGATGGCGGCATGGATGAACATGAAGCAAGACACAGTGCCTAATGCTCATCTTCGCGATTGCCATGCCAGTCTGAAGCAATGGAGGCCGGAACAACGGCTCGAAGATGCTGCTGATGATGGTGATGAGGAGGAGGACAGGGCGAAGTGCTACTTACGCGGTTAATGCTGCTGATTGTCATGACATGGTGGCAATGGTGCTGCAACTTTTGCTGTTGCTGATGATGACGACGATGAGTCAACGATGAGAATGATTAGTGGTCGCATGGCGCTCTTCTGCAGCTGATCCATTTTCGATTTCTGGGGCTCTGTACAATGATATTCCCACGGCATTTGCCAGCCGGGCTGCTGATTCTCCTAGTTTGTTTTCCAACTTGAGGTGGGCTGCGCAGTGGTTTAGGGCAGTTTAGGGTGTAGGATCCCTTTGGAACATGCAGGCGGTGAGGACTTGGGCTCAGATATTTGCTATGGCTTTCTCTTGGTGTTGGATTTAGGGTTGAGGGTTGCTTCAGGCATGTTGCTGACCATGCCACTGAACGACCCGTGAGCCAGTACAGCACCGGATCACGGTATGAAAATGAACCCTAGACCTAAACCATAAAAGCTTAATTCAAACCCTGAACCATGTACCCTAGACCCCTTAACGAGCAGCCCAAGATGAGTCTTCCAAGGTCAGGCCTGCAAGACAGCCTCAAGCATGTTCGCGCAGCCGCGAAGGACAGGTTTGTTTGCTGGTAATATGGAAGATGGATTGATATTGCTAGTATTACAGCCTTATTATTATTATTATAACACGACCCACAAGCCTTATTCCAACTACACTGGTGCCGTGCCATGGTTTGGGGACTGTAGACGCTAAGACTTAAGCCCTGAACCCTGAACCCTAAATCCTAAACCCTGCACCCTGAACCCTAAACCCTAAACCCTAAACCCTGAACCCTAAACCCTAAACCCTAAGCCCTAAGACATGTTTTCCCCAACTGTCCGCGCCCTTGAAGTTGTGCCCCAGGCTTTCGAGACCTGAACCCTTCCACCTTCAGCCCCGAACCCTAAGTAGGGTCCTGATATATATATATATATATGTATATATATATATATGTATGTATACATACATATATATATATATATATGGGTTTCTATCGGGTTTCTACAAAGGTACTAAAAGGGTTCCATGTGGGTAGTTCTCTAAAGCTGGGTCCGGTTTAGGTCCTTCTTATAAGGGTGGCGTACCATTCCGGGTTACGGCGACTTGAAAAGCGTTCCTCATTTAGAGAACTACCCATCTAATCGAGAAATAGAAAACATGCAGTTTGGGGTTGTGGGTTTAGGGGTCTGTGCGTATGGCCGCTGTACAAAGCCTCGTTTGCAAAATCCGTTCACCTCAACATCCTGATCCAATTCGAAGCTTGCCTTCCTGGCTAGAGTTGCTGTGCCTCTTGACTGCTGTCTTGCTATGAAGGTAAACTCGGTTCGAAGATGTGAGCCCAATACTCATGCTATTCAGGCGGCAGCAGCGAAAATGCCCATCAACAAAAGAAGGAACACGCTGAGCAATTTTGTCGCTACATACTATACACACACACGTATATATATATATATGTATGTATGTATGCATGTATGTATGTATATATATATATGTATATATGTATGGGGAGAGAGGGACAGAGAGAGAGAGAGAGAGAGAGCGGGAGATTGGGTATGTGCATGTTCACCGTATAGTACACCATAATCTAACTCTTTTTTTTTAAACTGCGGCACGGTGCTGTGATATGGTTTAGCAGACAGCACCCGTGCGTTTGCACGGTGGTGCTCTGGCCCTTGAGGTCCCCAAAGGCACTGCCCTGTGCCACCTTTAGGGTTTAGGATTTAGGGTTTAGGGTTTTTAGGGTTTAGGGTCTGGGGGTTTTAGGGTATAAGGGTTTAGGGCCGTTTAGGGTTTTTAGGGTTGAGGTGGTGTGCCGCCAGTGAAAACCCTATGCATATTTCTCATCTAGTGTACGCGCCTGATTAAGAGGCTCCTTGTTTCAGTTAGGGCGAGTCAGGCCTTAATCTTAGCATCCCAGTTATAACCCCTATAAGGGAGGGGAGCGTATCCATCACAGGTCCAGACAATTCAACCCTAAACCTCAACCCTAAAACCCAAACAAAGCAACCCTGAACCCTAGACCCTAAAACCCAAACAGTTCAACCCCAAACCCTAATCGAGGAGCGCTTCAACCAGCTGCGCTCAGATGTGGAGGCTTTCCTCGGTGAGGCGGGCCAAAGCCTTCGAACTTAGAATTCGGTTCAATTTTGAGGGTTCTTTCAAACGGTCCTTCTTAAAAGGGTCTCCTTCAATGGATTCAAGTGGTCCTTTTCAAAGGGTCTCTATAAGGGATCTATATGGTCTCGCTGGTACGCGGCTTCTGGGTTCCTTTTTGGTCGAGAGCTTCTTTGCTACTACAGAACAGAGTGCTAACCCAAGCCCCCAATTCAGCGGTCGAGGATGTAATCTAGGGGCCTTAATTCATGAATTCGAGCAGGGTTTTGGGTGGCTCAGCCGAAAAATCCCGTCGACGAGGAGCGAAACAAAGGACGACCTGTGCAGGGCTTATGGTGTATCTTGTACGTAGGAAATGATATATTGGTATTTATATAGGTTTGCAAATATATAGCTTCAGGGTGTAAGGCCTTAGGTTTTCAAGGGTTCAGTGCGATTGTAAGGTTCTGTCCCTGACAATGACGGTTACTCAAGAAATGATACTGCAGTGGAGACTGTAGTAAGCCCAAAACAATCCCAAAACCATAAATATGCGAAACCCAAAGAGGGTAATCCAAAACTGGAAAAACATACCGAGACCGAAACCCTTTGAAACCCCAAACCTAGGTAAACCCAAAAAGGGCGCTGTCAGGTTAACTTTGCAGCTGCACGTCTACGAGAGATGAATACAGATGGAGATGAGACACGGGAGACTAAGGCCGCCGGAAATGGGGGTTTAGGCTTTAGGGTTTAGGGTTTAGGGGTTCAGGGTTTAGGGTTTCGGGTTTAGTGAGGACTGTGAAGGTTTGAATCTACAGGTTCGAGGTTTCTGGTGTCAGTGTAGGGGCTCGCGATTTCAGAATTTCACTCTTTGCGTTTGAAGTTTGGGGTTAAAAATAAGGTGCCGCCTCCATTTGTCATTCTGAAGTGAGGATTTAGGGCTTAGGGTTTAGGGAGTGGGCCCGAAACATTTCATCATCAACTAAGCTCTCTTCCAGCCTCGCACGCCCAGCCCCCCGCTGTTCCCCCCCCAACCCCGCATACACCACCA